TATACACTTACAGCCGCGACAGCTATATGCATCAACTTCATCATTTTCTCTTAACAATTGATACTGACGTTGGTTGTAAGTTCTTGAGAGCCTATTATTTGCAGGCTGTGTAAAAAAATTAGGATCTTCATTAATCATAGATTCTACCTTAGCCTTTAAAGCATTGATTCGGTTTATAAATCTATTTCGAATACCTCTTAGCTCATCTTCTGCTAATGAATCTCCTAAACCATCCCGAATCCATTGTTGCCAATCTTCATTGGTTTTGGAAATAAAAGCATCCCAGACATCTTGTGAGTCAAACAAAAATTGCAGGTCAGATTTATCAAGATTATTTATATCTAGATCTGTTATCCACCTGAATGAATCGGCATTATCAATCAAGGTAACACTGCCATCTTCTAAAAGGAACAAATTCTTGTCGTAACGATCCTTCTGCGCAGTCAAATAGTCAAAAGCTTTATTGCTTTGAGAGTTCAAGCCCATTGTAGGATGTACGGCATCTTCAACAGCTAGCTGGTAGACACCTTGACTATCTGCTACTGTTGGCGGAACCAGATCTAAATCGAGCTCTCTACTAAGGCTATAATTTAGCTCTTCTGTCTTTCGATAGAAAGCTCGCCTTTCATCTTTATAAAAAACTTTCATATCACCAACTTTAGTGACCTTATGAGAAGTTAACCGAGCAGATTCTGAATCCGTAATACCTTCTAAATGCTGTTCAACAAAATCGTAAATGGTTTCTTTATCTGAAGGTATCCTTAAGTCACGGGCTCTACGAATAGCTTGCCAATATTTCTTCTGTTCAAATAAACCTCTAACTTCAGGATTTTCAATGGTCGAGGCTTTCAAGGGCGTAGGAAAAGGGCCAGCCGTCTTACATCCAGCTGCATTTATTCGGAGCAAACAATTAAGGAAGATTAGAAAATCTTTTTCGTCATTGAAAGAGTTAACACACATAGCAAGATCTAAATTCTTGGTAGTCTCGGCTACTAAGTTAAGGACAAGGCGTATCGTCGTTCTTGGTCATTTCACAGGAAAAACATCAACCTCAGTTCAGATTTCTGCTGCTTCTGAGTGGATGGAACTTTCCCCAAGACGGATCGCCCTACGTTTGGGACCAATGCTTCAAGAGGATAGCTTAATTGACTTATTGTCGTGTCGGTCTTGTGGTTATGAAGATGTTGCTGAACAATTTCTGGACGGATTAAAAGAAGCTGGAGTGAAAAATGTTAGAGTTAGGACTTATTACCGAGACATCGACTTTATCCCGGACAACGGAGGCATGTTTACGGATGAGGAAGGTATTTTCAGAATGCCTACGCAAGATTTTATTGATGGAAAGTCTTTGCCAGACAGTGCAGTGGACCAACTTCAAGGATATGAACTCAGAGACGGGGAGGTGATTGAACTGCCGCAATATGACCCTAATGTCGCCGCCTGGTCTGCTGATACCTGCCCATAATCAAAAAGATCTCTGTTAGTATTGATGTTAGGGAGTAGATGCGGAAAATAAAAAGTATTATTCAGCGACTTTATTTAATGAGTGTCGTTGCTGGGTACGGGAATCTGAATTAGCATTAAAACAATCAGTGAACGTTTTAATGCTCCCTGGAAAAATCTTCAAGCTAAATATAGAGAGAGACTAAAGATAACAACTAATAAACCCTGTACTTTCTAAACGTATTTTTTACATTAATTCAGTGTTTATACGCTTAACTTGAATACTTTATTTGGTTATTCTTATTTACAATTAATTTTTTGGAAACTATATTTTTCGTAATATGCAGCGGATCTATCACCTTGAACTTCTAAGCTTCTAATTTTTTTTAGTTTGGGTTTGTTTTTGATAGCATTACGAAACGCTTCATTACGTAATGATGAACCGGCTCGACCAATTGTACCTTCAGGCCTGACTTCTCTTACTAACTGACTTTCAGGATTAGCAACAATATATTTCTCACTTATAATTGAGCCTCCTGCCTCTTCTCGAAGCCCCATAATGGCTTGGGGAACTAATTCATCTTCTGAATTTCTTGTTGACAAAACCCAAATTTCATCCATATCGTTAAATCCCCCAGTAAAAACCTCGGAGGTCTCAGCCGCTTGTTCTCCTGTTAGACCGTAATCTTGGTACTCCTTAGCTCTTTTCATCCAGCTAGACAAACGAAAACGAAGACGCATACCGTGAGGCGTTAATGGTGATTCCCGTGTTAAGAAAAAATCTGTTCCTTCAGAATAAGATCCACCATCCCAACGCAATACAGATATATCGGGCTCATCGGAGAATGTATCAAAATTCTCTTTATTTAGCTGAAAAGAATAAGTATCTCCTTTCGAAAGGTCAGGAGGATCTATGGAATCTAAAGAATCTATTTTAGATATAACACCTTCGGTCAAATGTTGATCTTTAATAGGGTTAATTGCTTCGTATGTGTAGCTACCTTCAGGTAAAGGCTCTTTGATAGCAAAACTCGAAACTGGATCAATAATGGATATACAAAAAAAGAACAAAAAATAGCAATATTTATTCATCATAATCTCCGCTTACAGCTAATATATAAAAGCTTATTCTAGCACTTACCGTATTCCCCTTTCGCACCCTAAAAACACGGTAGGCAGGATCTCTCTATTTCTACTAACGTCGGATATTTAGTTAAGAAAAATTAGGGGTACGTATTGTACCCCTAGGATAATTACCCTGAATGACAATAACCATTTAGGTGTATTTCCTGAGCCTATTAAGGCTTGGTTTAGAGAGACTGACAATAATTTAGACAACAACTGGTACTTTTTTGACCAACTTAAGGTGAGGTTTAAGAACTTGATAACACATCAATAACAGCCTGAAGTGATGATTTTTGAACCGATGAGATAGTTGTTGCGCCAATATTATTAAGAGCTGCTTCTGTTTGTGTTCCAAAAGCGATATGGTGAACATCTTGCCATAGTTGATCTAGTTGCCAACGATTAACTACTTCAATTTGAGAAGTGGCTGTCCAAACGACATAGTCGAACCACCGTCGTTCGATGGCAATACGTAGTGTTTCCGGTACATATTTACGATGTTCTTTGGCATGGGTTAGTACTGGATGAACCTGCCAACCTTTGTCTGCTAATGTTTGATGTGGTGCTAAACGAGCATCACTTGCTTGGCATAGGAGTACTGTTCCAACTGGCTCTCCAAGTAAGGCTGGTATTTGGTCTGTACCACAACGTTCGGAACCGGTTACATCTGGCATAATCCCAATATTTGTTAACCGCCGGGCAGTAGCTTTACCAACTGCTGCAATTTTCCAACGATGCCACTGGCGTAAATCTTGGCGACATTCTTGACATCGTTGCCACCACCGTATTACCGCTGTTGGACTTGTAAAAACCAACCAACCTGATGTTTGACTTGCTATTTGGAAACTGGCATCAAAACTTTTATACGCATCAGGAGGATCACAAATACGCTGCAGTGGTATGGTACAAGGTTCAAAACCCGCTGCAAATAGTTGTGAATGCCAAGCTATCTTTTGCAGATCGGGACGAAAGAATCCGACATTGGCACGAACTTTATGTTGTGTTGTTTTAGTAGCAGTAACAACACCCCCATACACCCAAACAGCAGGGGGACGAATGTGTTTATCTTTAAGGTCTGTTTCTAACGTCTCTAAGGATGACACTACTAATTTTTCTTTTGGGGTTGTTACTGCTTGTGCAATTAATACAGGCGTCTCACTAGAAACACCATGGCGCTTCAATTTCTGGACGTTTTCAGCAGCACTTAGAACGCCCATATAGATTGCTCCTGTCCCCGAACGCGAAGCGGCTTCCCAATCTAACTCAGGTTTGGGGCCTGCAGTACGGCGATGTCCGGTTAGCAAGGTCAAGCTAGCTGATATGTCTCGATCCGTCAAAGAAATACCTGCACGAGCAGCAGCAGCACTAGCAGCGGTGATACCAGGAATAATCTCATAGGAAATACCAGCTTTTAGAAGCACTTGTATTTCTTCAGCTAAACGACCAAAGGTACAAGGATCTCCTCCTTTAAGACGAATAACCTGTTTCCCTTTCGATGCTAATTGAACAAGTAAGTCACAGATTTCTTTTTGTGACTGGCTTGGTTTACCAGCACGTTTCCCAACATCAATAACGGTTGCATCCCATTGTATATAAGATAAAAGAGATAGTGACACCAGAGCATCAATTAAGATGACGTCTGCTTCTGCTATTGCTTGCTGACCTGCAACGGTAATCCAACGCGCATGGCCTGGCCCAGCACCGATAAAAACAACTTGGCCGTTCATTTAGTTGTAGCTAGGGCAATCCGTAAGGCTTGCCCTACATTTTTACCTAACTCAAGGGGGGTTGTTCCGGTTTGGGTTTCAGTATGGGATATAGTTCCATCTTCTGACCACAACTTCGCAGTTAGTTTCAATTCATCATTCTGATGCTCAGCGTAAGCTGCAAATGGTGTAAAGCAATCTCCTTCAATTTCCTGTAGTACTGCACGCTCAGCCTGAAAAGTTTGCCAAGTTTTTGGATCATGAAGTTGTTGAAAGAGTGTTTTTAATTCTTCATCTTCGCAATGTGCTTCGATCGCTAATGTTCCTTGCGCGGCTGCAGGGATAAAGGATTTCAACTCAATTTGTTGCTCTTGCCAAGAAGCCTCTAGACGTTCTAAACCAGCTGCGGCAAGTATTACCGCATCGAGCTCTCCTAAATGAACACGCTCTAAACGGGTATTAATATTGCCACGCAATGGTATAATTGTTGCTTGGGGCATCTGTTCTTGGGTTTGGAAACGTCTCCGGACACTACCAGTACCAACTTTTCCCTTAAAATCCTCTAACTCATTGACAATATTACCGTTTTTTAGACAAAGGACATCGTAAGGAGATGCTCTTTTAGGCGTCGCAATAATTTCTAATCCCGCTGGTAGTGTTGCAGGAATATCTTTACCAGAGTGGATGGCAATATCAATCTCTCGATTTAATAGTGCTTGCTCTATCTCTTTTAAAAATAATCCTTTCCCCCCTACTTTGTCTAAAGGACGATCACGAATTTTGTCTCCTGTTGTTGTAATCCAAACCCACTCTACTGCTAGGTCTGGACACTGATGTTTTAGTGTCTGGATAACCTGTTTTGCCTGCGCTTGAGCTAAAGGAGATTTACGAGAGCCGATTTTGATTTTCATGATCTATAAGTTCTATTTGTTCTTCGGTATCTGTTAAAGCAGTAATCATTTCTATCCAAAGCTTTGGTTCTTCACTAGAGTTTACTTGCTTTGCTATCATTTTGAGTAATTTTTGAATAATAGCGCTTGTTGCTCGATCTACCAGGTCTTCAGATGATAGCTTAGAGCTCTGACGCAAAGCGCGTTTAACCTCACTGGCTCTTAATTGCTCTAACCAAAGACTTAAATCACTTAATGACGGGGCATACTTTTGCCGATCATACCAAAGTGTAAAATGATCGGTTGCTTCCGTAATAAATAATTCTGCGTGCTGTGCCTCTTCGGAACGACGTTCAAGGTTTTCGTGGCATAACTGTTGTAAATCATCAACACTATATAAAAAGATATCATGCATTTTGCCAATTTTAGGGTCTGCTGCACGAGGCACTGCTAGATCAATTAATAAACGTGGTTTAGGAGGCCGATGACGTAGAGCTTCTCGAACATCTAGGTAGGTTAATAAACGATCCTGTGCACCAGTGCCAATCAGAACGACATCTGCAAGTACCAGTTCTGTTGGCAGTGATTCCCAAGTACTAACACGCGCTTGATATAAAGCAGCAAGTTCTTGCGCACGCGATAATGTTCGGTTACAAATGGTAATCTGCTGAACACCTTTACTTTTAAAATGTGCAATAGCCAACTCTGCCATTTCTCCAGCACCTAAAACAAGAACTTGCTTCTCTGTTAGGGGTTCAAAGACCTCCTCGGCTAATTGTACTGCTATCGTTGACAAATTGACGGCATATTTACCAATTTCTGTCTCTGTACGAATGCGCTTACCTACCTGCAGGACTTTTTGGCCTAAACGTTGTAGATATAGTCCAACCGTTTTTTCATCACAGGCATATTGAAAAGCTCGTTTCCATTGTCCTAAAATCTGTGGTTCACCAAGAACCATAGAATCAAGGCCTCCAGCAACACGCATAGCATGGCATATTGCTTCTTCCCCTCGAAATATTCTTAGATGGTTACGAAATGCGGTTACTTCTAAACCTGTTATTTCATCAAAAAACTGCGTAGCTACTTCCTCTAATTTATCTGAGATACCATGTGTTATTAGCTCGACCCGATTACAGGTGGAAAGAATTATTACTTCTGCTTCTAATTGTTGACGCAGCCATTTATAGGCTACTTGTAAGCGTTCGCCGGTTAAATTTAAACGCTCTCTTAATTCGATACCAGCTGTATGGTGACTAACACCAATAATGCCAAAATCCATCAGCTACTCCCGTGGACTAAAAAATCGAAACTAAATGTAATTGTCACAACAAGGTGTAGTAAACCAATGACAACAGCTGTAAAAAGACTCAATCGATGCCCACGCCAGCCTAACCACAATCGCAGATACAATGTTATGGCCAATAGCAACCAAGCGACAATCGTCATATACGCTAGAATATCTTTACTTTGACTTTTAATCGTTGTCGGTAGAGACATTAATAAAAAGCCAAACACCATTCCTATCGACAGTAAGATAAATCCTGCTTGTAGTAAACGTAGTTGGTAGCGATCCAAGTTATCTAGACTAGGCAATTTACGAGCTAATCCTGCCGGGTTATCCCGTAAGCCACGTTCTTTTAGAATATAAAGTAATGCCATACTACCAAGAGAGACTAAAAAACCAGCACTAATACAAATAAAACCTATATGTAGTTTTAGTATTGTTGTAATTGGGTTCTGGTTAAAGTTTTGTATTTGTCCAATCATGACTGCAAGTAACAAAAATGCAGCAGAAATCGCTGATGCGGTACACCACAGTATTGGCCGCCCTTGAAACCGGTTTGCATATAAGCTAGCAAGCGTAAAAGAAACACCAGTAATGCCTAATAAGTCTGTGGGAATCATTACGACACCCCAATGTGACAATAGCCCACCAACGTAAATGCCTAATCCGGCAAATAGGAGTGCCTCGCCAACGCTATCTTGTACAGGTAACTCTTTTCGGCTCTGACGGTAAAAAATAACGGTTGCCCCAACAATTAATAATGTAGCGATATAAATATGTGTCATAGCGTTTCTGTATCTACCATCTTTTGGTAATACTTTTGTAAATCTTGATGTAATTGTTCGACTAATACTTTCGCCAAGCCAGGGTTTTTACCCTTGGTAGAAACGGCTAGATGTATGTTTTCAACCTGTCGTTCTGCAGACAAATTGATATTCCCAAAACCATGGGCGCTCACAATAAGTAAACCTTTCTGTTTTGCTACCCGGCAAATTTTTTGGTCTAAGTCTAGATTATTAATTGCAATCATAATTAACGCCCATGGTTTAGCTTCTAAATCCTGCTCTTGATAAACACGATTTTCCCAGCTTATATCACCTTGTTTTACATATGTATACAACGTCTTACTAAGTCTTGGTGTAATTATATGTACTCGTGCTTTTTCCATTAAGCATTTTTGTACACGTCGCTCTGCAACAGTACCACCACCGACGCATAAAACATCACGTTGTTGTAAATTTAAATGTATCAGCACACTAGGTATTATTGTAATCAAGTTTTAGCTAGAGAGAAATATGATCTTAATGTAGATTTATCTTTAGGGCTTTATTCAACTAAATTAGTTACAGCTTCAAAAACTGTGTTACCTCTACTTTATCTAAATAGTTTAATACTGCTAAGATCTGCCTCGCTACTTAATGGTCTGACTTAAGTAGATTTTTAATTGGTAATTATCATAATTATCGGAACTCTCAAGAGGTTCAATGATAGCTATATCTGAAAAACCATCATTATTGAGGTCACCGTACTCAATACTAGCACTTATATCAATGCTAACCCAGATATCATCATTAAAGGTACTACTGATGCTAGTGATCGTATCCAATTGATGTAAGGTTTTATTAAAACTACTGTCTCCATCCGCTAACATGTAAACAATGCTAGCTTCCTTTGTCTGTTGATCAATATAAGGAAATAGAATATCGAGTAAGCCATCATTGTTGAGATCTACGTGAATGATAGCCTGGTCTGCTCTTGACTGACGAAATTTTTTATAGGCATCGGTATGAACTCTAATACTGCTAACCCGATTACCTTGTTGATCAAATAGATGATGTATTAAGTTAAGCCGGTTATCAGAAAAGATGTAAGACTGCCTCATAATAGTATAATCGCTAGCGGTTCGAAAAAAACCACTGGAAGTCCCTAAAAGCCTCAAATTATCTCTGTCCTGATCAGCAAGATGATCATCTAAATACGCCAAAAAGAACCTATCCTCATTTTTGATCTGCAAACCTTCTGGCAAATAAGAAGTACTATCGTTAGTCAACCAACAGTTAAGAAATCCAGCTTCTGTATTACTATCGCTATACCAACCTTCATCTGCAAAAAGATCGATTTTTCCATCATAGCCAAAATCAAGCAAATGAAAATTGTGAAAGTATGCTGCACCACAATTCCAGGCACCATCAACAAGTGAGTCGATAGTTAACTCTCTTGTTAACATAAGATCTTTGGTAGCATTCGTAGCACCTTTAAAATAATGAACTTTAAAATCTCGAAGGGATCCATTAGATGCTGTTATAACATCTAAAACGCCGTCATTATTATAGTCGGTCAAGTAAGCTTCTCCGCCATGTACTCCAGTAGGATAGGTTTTTGTTTTGGCAGTATCAAAAGCAGGTAGCGCTTGGTCACGTCCTGGTATAACCTTGATGTTGTTCCCCCAAAAGTTAAAAAATACGAGATCAGGATAACCATCTTGATTCATGTCACCAATATCTGAAAGAAAATCATTGTTGGCTACATCAAGGTCTTGTCCTTGGATAAAAGACTGTCCTTGTTGATTATAAAAAAATAATACGCGAGATTTTGAAAAATAGTGTGAATAAAGATACGTTGAACCGTTTGAAATTAATTCATTATGGATAACGATATCTAGGTAGGAATCATCATTGATGTATGCCAAAAAGATTTTATCAAAATAGTATTGATCTTTTGTAAATCTCAAGGGATACACTAAAGGCGCTGAAAAGCCATTCCAGTTTTTACTATTACCTCCATCCTTTAACCATCTTGTAGAAGAGGTCTTTTTGATAAATAAATCTGTACGCTCTTGTAAGATAAAAAATATAATGTAGGTTGTCTTAGTACCATTTTCAGCCATAATGCTGATAGTCGTCTGTTTGTCTGTAATTATCAGTATTGAATCTTTGGGGTGGTTTGTACTCGCTTTATCCGAAATCTTGATATCTTTTACAATAGCCTGCTTTGGAAAAGATACTGAAAAGGGCAATTTTAGGGTTGCTGTATTGTTTGTAAAACTGACTCCATAGTCCTTGGCATCAATAGTCAAAACCAGCGTACTGATATTTGCTTCAGTACTTTGTTCATGCTTGTCTGAAGTTCTTTGGTCTAAAGATAAAAAGGTATCATCAACATTAAGCCCACAATTTATGAAAGCGAGACTAATAACTATCAATCCTAAAAAACGTTTAACTTTATTCTGATGGATCATTAGGTCCAAACTATATCGTGATCACTTAAATGTTTTAGGATAAATCCCATTAACGTCATCTGTTATTTTGTCTTTAAAAAACATATTTCAATCTAGCATAGACAAAATCGTTTTCGTTGAACTGCCCAAGTGGATTATGTTGTGTGCCAAATAGCAGATTAATACCTGTTTGTAGTTGCAGACCAAATGGAAAATCGTAAAACATTGATGGACCAACATAGGCATCACCAAGGTTTATATTCCAATAGCTACGAACCTCAAGCCAGAACTCAGGTTCAAATGGTTTTACTCGTATCACTCCCAATGTACTGACATTATAATTATCAATTAAGAATAGGTTTTGATGGGTCATAAATAAATTTCCGACCACTGACATTGTCCATAAAAAACGTTCATGTTGGAGCATGTCAAAACCGGCTAACAGTTGTACTGCTGGTACGTGTATCACCTCTAGCTTATCTGTATATAAACTCTGCTGAGACAAGGTACTGATCTCAAACCTTAACATTGCTAATGATAAGGGGACCGCTAGAGATACTGCTGTTCGTAATTGTCGTTTTGGTTGTTGATAAAAAAGTGGTGTCAGGTCTAAGTCTAATATTCCTTCATTTAACAGATTTCGAAATGTTAAGGATCGTAATGTTTGTAGAGGTGTTTTCCCAGTTTCCTGTTGCTCATCTTGAATCAGCTGAATTAGTTCTGGTGAGAAAATAGGTAATGCTATATCTTCAAGTCCGTAAAAAATATATAGGTCGATATCTAGTTTTGAAAAATGATAACTAAATCTAGCACCTAGATCACCATTCAAAAAATTATCCTGTGGGGTCGTAATAAATCCTGGAGAAAAGTTCTGCTCGAGTGCACTGGCAATCAGGTTATCTTGGTTACCTTTTCTTAAACTTTCGAATGAGATAGGGTTCCAATCTGAATCGTTCTCTGGTAGGCGTGCAGGGCGATAAAATGGAATGACTACTAATTCTAATTCGTAACGTTGGCCATACTTTGTCCAGCGCACCATTGGTATTGGCCGCTTTTGAAACTCTTCTGGTATAAACAGGAATTCAGATAAGTCATCAGGGTTAAGTACATCAATAAGACTGGGTAGACCTCGCCCCCAACGTCGAATCTGCTGTCCTACTGCTAAGTCCCAACTAGAACCTTCCCAAACACCATATGCTTCCCACAATTCGGGAGTAAAACGTGCATGGCTCTGACCATTACTGCGAAAGATTTCATATTCCATCGCACCAGATACGGTGATCCGCCATTTATGTGTCTTTTTGAGAGACAGCTCTAATAAGAACCTACTAAGGAACTCTTGACGCCGTTCTCCGGGACGGTCTTTAGCAATATCACCATTCCAGCGCTGGTCAAGTAGCCCTCGATAGCCCGCTTTAAGTGTTTGCTTTGTTTCGGTATTGCCTAGTGGGTACCATGTCTGCGCCAAAAGATTCTGTGGGAATAACCATAGACCTACATAAAGGGAACTAAAAAATAGCCCCCTCCAAGAAGACGTTATAAACAGACGTAAGGTATACATAAACAGGTCCATACCTTACCTGTGTTATCCATCTTTCATGCGACGCAGGGTAAAAAAGTCGCTAGGGAACTCCAGGTTATTTTTTTGTTCTAAAACTTCTAATACTGTCGCATGTTTTTTTATAAGATCTTGCATACGTGTTTTAGTTGCAATCCAATACCCGTCAATTTTAGTCAGCTGTTCAACCGTTAAGACTTTTTGTAATTTTTTACCCTGATAGAATTCAATTTTTTGCGGTATATAGGTATCTTTCTGAATCCATTGAATCAACTTTGTATACTTCGAATTTGCTTCTGGCTTTGGTTGTGATTCAATTATCCAATGGTCTTGGTCTTGCCATTTCTTTTCACCTATGAGTTCATAATGCCACTTGTTAGGGTCTTGTTTCTCGAAATCTGCAAAGGTAAAATCAGTTCCTAGGAAACGATGATGTCTCTGTCTACTACTAATTCGTTTGGGTTCTTGCCTGAGTGATGGTAGATAGAGCCACTGTTCACTAGATGATTTTTTATTTTCCTGTACAAGCAATGTGACACCTGCAACATTTTTTGGCTCCACAAAACGTAGTAATGTTTGTATTCCTGCTTCGGTTTTTGCGATAAAAAGCTCAACTGTACGTGTTTTTTCGTAGTTTTTTGCTGTACGCTGTCGAATTAAATGCATTTTGAGTTTGACAGCACTTGACTTGGGTGTTGACTGTCGATTAACTTCACTGATAATTGCGTCAGCTGTCTCTGTTACTTGAGTCTTAGCTATTTCTGTTGCCTGAGCACCAGAAGTAAGTGTCATCAAGATAATGATCAAGAGAACTGGTTGCATAAGTACCTCCTACTATCTGCATCTCCCTTTGCCCTATAAATTATATTTTATTAAACCGACGACGTAACCTTTTAACTTTCGGATTAATAATTACTTTTTCTGGTGGTAGTAGGTACCACTTATCTTCAACTTTGCGCCAACTTGTTTGGACATCCACACAGCGTGGAATCCAGACATACCAACGTCCACAAATTTCTAGTTCAGCAACGGCATAGCCGTAGACCTCATCTAATTCTTGTAGGTCCCATGTTAGCCTACGAATTTTATAATCTATGATACGTGCCTGTTTAACAAGGGCAATTAAGTTTAATAAGAACAGATCTCTGCCTTCTGTGTCTAAAAAAAGCGGACTTAGGTAGTTACTAATTTCTTTGTGCCGTATATGTTTCCCACGTAAGACATCAGAAACATATGTCATCTCTTTATTGAGGTCTATATTGCTCTCTTCTGCCCCGCTAGAAACTGGTTGCACGCATAGTATCATTGCGACAAAAACAATCCAGAACAGACTTTTTTTCATAATAATCATCAGTATTCGTGATTAGGGGTTAAGCCAGTATTCATGGTAACAAACTGCTTCAGGTTATGCTGAAATATGCTATTTAGCTATAAGTTTCTCGTTTTTAGCATCTTAACCTTAACGAACACGGCACAAGACAAATTTTAAATAATGCCCTTCTGGAAAACTAGGAATGACAGGATGATCTAAACCTGCCCCACGTTCACAAAGGATCTGTAACCGTTTACCTGTTTGTTGAACACTCTCATCAATGAGTTCACGAAATAGTTGCATCGTAATATGGCTAGAACAACTTGAGGCTGCAAGTAGACCTTTTTCACTTAAGAGTTGACAGGCAGATCTAAATAAGCGGCGATACGCCCGCTTTGCATTGGGTAAGCTCTTTTGATTTGGAGCAAAGCTAGGCGGATCAATAATGACCAAATCAAATTTTTTTTGTTCTTGTCTAGCTGATTCAAACCAGTTAAAAGCATCTTCAGCTATAAATCCGTATTCATTAGGTGATAATCCATTGAGGATAAAATTTTGCTCTGCTGCTTTGATTGCGTTCGTACTAATATCAACACTTTCGACATACGTCGCCCCCCCTAAAGCTGCGGCAAGGCTAAAACCTCCTGTATAGGAAAAAAGGTTAGCAACTCGCAGCCCAGCTGCTAAATCAAATACTAAGCGCCGATTTTCTCGTTGGTCAACAAACCACCCTGTTTTTTGACCTTGGAGGACATCTACTTCCATATGCCAGGCATATTCTTGACAGCTAAATGGTTCGGGCTGTTGACCAAGAAGGAGTTCCCAACGTGGACCTTGAGCACCTCGGGAACGACGATGGACAATTGTCTGAATATTTTTAAGTTGTGGCGTGTTGATAATTGCCTGCTGTAAATAAGGAAGCCTTTCCTCTGCAGCCCTACCGTCACTACGCACAACAAGGATATGGCGATACTGATCAATGGCCCATCCTGGTAAACCATCTGCTTCACCATGAACTAGCCGAAAGGCTTCAACATTTTTTGCTATTAGGCTTTGTCTTAATTGAATTGCAGAGACCAATCGTTCTTGAATCAGTGCACTATCTGGTATTTGCTGTTCGTCTAAACTCCAAACTCTAGCAGCAATGGGATGGCCAGGATCATAAATTGCCCACGCAACAAAACCATTTTTATCTATTAAGCGTACAGGAGCCCCGACAGAAAGTTGAGGCTGATTATCTATAGCACTCTGGTAAACCCATGGGTGCCCAGCTTCAATCTTAGAGCGTAATTGTTTTTTAAGTTTCAGGCTGGCTGCTTGCTCTATCATAGACATGTGTATTAACCTTTAGTTTTTGTCCTTAGTCAATGGTTCAGGGAGGTAGTCTTTTGCTAAATTGTGTGGACTTACGTTGAACAGGAAATAACGTATTTCAATCCGTTTATTTTTTACGATACGCTTGAGAATGCCTTCACGTTCATAACGACGGGCATCTGTAGTAATCGTTTGTGTTAACAGTTCTATTTTACGTCCAGCTTGTTTAATAGCTTGGCATAACGCGACATCCTCCATAATTGGGTATGGCAAAAAGCCACCGATTTGTTCATATAGCTCTCGAGTTAAAAAGAGGCCTTGATCACCATAGGGAAGTCCAGAAAACAAATTACGTATTCTTACTCCCCATTCGACCAATCGGTAGCGGTATGCGGAATGGTCGATTTTTAGACGAAAAGCTCCCGCATTGCCACGTGCGATCACCGGTGTCATCACCGCAAGAGGGTCAAAAGGCGGCACAGAATCAGCATGGATGATCCAAAGAACAGGTCGAGAACTCGCTTGCACACCAGTAGCAAGCTGTGGCCCACGACCGCCATGACGAGATACGACATTGGCCCCGAATGCACGAGCAATGGTCATTGTTTCGTCTTTACTACCACCATCCGCAATAATATATTCAGATCCTACTAGTAACTGTAAAGATTGAAGTAATTTTTCAATCCGAGTAGCTTCATTGAAAGTCGGTATAATTATGCTAAGATCTTGGGCTTTCATCTTTGATGTCATTTTTGCTAGTTCATTGTTACAGGTTTAATTTTCTGATGCTGAGGTTCTTGTCAGCACCTTGTATTTTCCCTTATTACAAACCATTATCTTTCATAGTATTTGCTGCCTCACGAATTATTTTATTTTGTAAACATTTCTTCTCCGAAATGGGTTGCCTTGACAGTAAAGGACTTCTTTAGAGACCATGACTACTATGCCTAGATTTAGACAGCTCTTGACGTTTAGTTGCTTACTCTCTGTTATTACCTTACTTGCGTGTGAAGGTCAAAAAACAGATTTGAATACGAACAACATAAATCATTTTTCTGCAGCTTATATTCCAGAGTCGACTGCCGTTCAGGTTAGCTGGTTGCCTCTCTTATCTAACCAGATTGAACAATTTGAAGTCTTACGCGACTCACTTCGAACAGCTAGGATAACAGCACCGGTAACAACGAATACACTAAAAACATATGATTTTGTTACTGCTGCTGCATTTACGTTTGACGACTTTAAAATTGAACCAGGCTACCGCTATAGCTATCAATTAAAGGCTCATTTTTTTGACAAGTCTATGGAGACAACATCACCAATTGTTTGGGTTGATGTACCAGCAAAGTCCCTGACTGGCACAACATTTCCTGAAGCATCTACAGACCTCTGTAGTCTTGTGACAGGAGAAACAACTTATAATCGTTTAACCCTACAAGATAATCGTTTTAGACAAACAGCAGCAGTCGCTGCTACGAACCCCAGTGTCAGGCTTCAAGCTTATTTTTCAGAGACACGTCGCGCTCGTGCGGAGTGGCGTATCTACCACCAGCAACAAATGTTGACACCAACCGCTGGCCAGCTACTTGGTGATCCTATTGAATTTACAATTTCGAAAGAGACTTGTCTGTTTCGTATGATTACCTTATATGATGCATATGAACAACCGCTAACAGACGCTCTGACTGATGAAACCTACGCATTTTCACTGGAGCTACGCCTTTTTGGCATAGGCTCAAATAGTGATCAATTGCTTTCTCCGGTACAGCGTCTTGTTTTTCCAAATCAAGAAGGCAAAGAATTTATCGACATTAATAATATTACACCTGAGCCAGCTGCTGTTTTACGACCAGGTCGACAGAGTTTTCAAACAAACTTTATGTATCACCTAGAACGTGTCGACGGTCTAATTCTTAGTGGACATATTGTCGCTGTTGATCAAAACGGTAATACGGAAATGCTAGATATCCAGTCTTATGAATTAGAGGATCTTGAGGGTTCAGTCCTATACACAGCTACAGTTACGATTCCTGAAGATACTGTTTTGATTCGGTTGATTGCCCAAACAGGAACGGGAGCAATTGATAATGCTATTGTGCAAGATGAGCTTAATTATGCTGTCTTACCGTAAAACAAATTTGTTTTATCTAACTTCGGTTGTTGCATGGTTTCTATTTATACCTAGTTGTAATAATGCCAATACGCAGTGTATCTCTACAGCTAATGAAGTTTGTGACCCCCTTTTACAACCACCTGCCTTTGTTACAGCAACACTATCTCAAACAGGGAGTATCTTATTTTCGTGGCTTGACACGAATAGTGGTAACCAGGAAGAAGAGGGATATTTGCTTGAACGTAGATTGCCAAATACAGATAATTGGGCTCTCATCAATATCTATCCAACAGGAACAACAACAGGAGTAGATACAACAGCGGCAGATGATACGTCCTACTTTTATCGTATTGTTGCCTTCCGTCAAGGCATAACGCGCCCAGCTCCTGAAATACGTGTTGACTTTCCGTCCCAGACACCACCAGAGACAACACTCTTATTTCATCCGCCACGTTTAACCCTAAGTAGTGAAGCAAGTTTTGTTGTTGCCAATAGTGAAGACCTCGGTTCATTTCAATGTTCGCGTATCATTAGCGGTGGTCGTCTACAAACGATTAGATGTGAGGCTAGTCCCGGTTGTATTTTACGTGGAGAGATCTGTCGAACAACATTTACATTATCTAATTTAGCAACGGGTCAACATCGTGTTTCTATTACCGCTGTAGATACTGCCGGAAAACAAGATCCAACACCTATTGAGTTTAGTTGGAAAGTTGATGACCAACCACCGCAGCTAGCGTTAACTCAAACACCAGAAGTAGTAACCAGTCAAGATACGGTCACATTTGGGTTTAACTCTGACGACGACCAGGCAAGCTATTCTTGTATGGTTGATAGTTTTGGCATGCTACCAACTGTTGGCCCGGTCTCTTGCTCTCCAGAAGAAGGTTTTTCTACCGCCTTTGGTCAATCAGGTATTAGACGGCGCTTCGCTGTATCCGCAACTGACTTATTGGGAAATACAACCACAGAAATATTCGATTTTTACACAGACAGGCAGCCACCAGAAATTTTATTCCCCTCACCCAATACAACGTCCCGACAACCGTCGGGCAGCGTTATATCTTACGTGGTCATTAATGACAGTGATACAGACCCCGCATCAACATCTTTAAGTCAGACTGAATCTGTCAAATGTACTTGGAAAAATCTTGTTACGAACTCTATCATTGATTTTCTACCTAACTGCCTACCCAATTATGTTAAAGGTCAGCTAAGGCCTGTACCAATTAATAATAATGAATTTAATCAAGATGGTTTTTTCTCTTTGTCGATCACAGCAACAGATTTTGTTGGAAATACGACAACAGCAACTTTTGAATGGCAGCATGATGGAATACAACCGACATTAACATTTGTCACAACACCAGTAGATTACCGTATGCCTCCATCGCAGTTGGGTAATCCAACAACCGTATTTTCTAGTTTTTTGGATTACTATTATCAGGCGACAAATGCTGCCCATACAGTAACAACAGCAACAGATATTATTCAACAGTTTTATTGCAGTTGGACGGGAACAAACGCTTTTACAAGCCAACAATGTGATGATTTTATTTTTATTGCTGGTAATGCGCGTAGTGTGACAACAATACCTGACTTCTACCAATTTACGGTTACTGGTGTTGATTTAGCTGGTAATATTTCGGCTCCTGTAACACATATTGTACGCGTTGATTATCCTGCTTATAGCAATAATATTTGTGATGCTGCTGGTAATGCAATTGTGATCAAACGCTTTGATCCTTTACCAACAGGTAAGCGGTCTCCACTTGGCGGTGGGAGATTTGCAATGGTTATTGACGATGACACGTCTGCCGGGGGGATTAATCCGTTAACAGATTATATTTATAATGCGGTTGAGTTTGGGAATACTGTTCCGAATAGAGGTGGTGTTGAGCTACAATACCGTGCAGAAAGTACAGTAGCAACAACCTACCAACTTTGGGGAAACCCACGTAAACAAGATGCTGGTACATTAGAAATTCCTCTAACACCTTTGCCAAATATTAGCTGTGATAATGCCTACACAACTGTTGCGAATCATCTGGGAGAATCAGAGCAACTACAACCTTGGCAATTAGAAGCATCGCTACGTACAGGCGTTAGCAACTTCCCAGATACATTCTCTGCTGTTGCCCGTTTTTGGTTGGGCATGGCTGTTCCAGACCAAGATTATCTAATTATCCGCCAAAAACACCCTGACCATAACTGGCTACCCGAAGCGGGCCAGTTATGGCAATTTCGTTTTTTGGTTGGTGTGCGTTCACTAGCTACCGTACCAACAACTGTTGCAGTTCATCTTGAAGTGCCTAATGTGACAGAAGGCTATACTGCTGGTGCCCCCCAAATTACAGGGACACAGGATAGGATAGCCTCTAACTATTATGAGTGGAATAACTTACTATTTAATAATCAAAATGAAACGCTTGTCGATTTATTTGCGGAAGCTCCACATTGTGTAGGCATGGCTCAAATACGTGTACAAGCATTAGATAATAGTAATAACGTCATATTAGAAGATTTTGCTCGCTTTGCTATTAGTGATAGCGTTAGTGGACAAGATCTACGTGAGCCCAATAGCATCATAGCACCAGCAGGCCCGTATCCATTAACAGACGGTATTGATTTATCTAATTTACGTTTAGAGAACGCTTCGCCTGAGGACAGCTATCGTTTAACACCAATAAGGTACGGTTCCCCTTTAACCGTTGAAATACGAGAGCGTTCTGCAACAGGTGAAGAGCTCTATATTGCCATCCTTGAAAATGGCACAGCTGTTACTGATATAACGACAGCTATAGGCTTAGTTCAACTTGAGACAACACCATCCATAGGCAATACCTACGACGTCAGTGTAACCGCAGCAACTATCAGTCGTTGTCTACGTTATCGTCTACGAGCTTGGCAGTAAATAGAATAGTCCTCGTATCCTTAATAGGATTAATTTTTTGCCTCAATTTCACTCATAGGTAATGGCTGGTGTACCCATTTTTTCGGGATATTTTTCAAGTCAGCGTCTGGTGTGAAGTAGTAATCGTAGATAGTATCAGCAACATGTCTACCAAAAACACGAGTGTCTTCCCTGGTAATCCAGTGATCTAAACCAGCTTTACCATAGACTGTCTCTAGTGTTATGGCTAAGACTTTAGAACCGGCATTTCTCCACCACCACGTTTCAGGAAAAAAGCTATTTAAAAATGTTGCACCCCCCTCTGTTGGAGGGGCTAAAATAGGACTTTTTTGGGCAAGAATAGAAATTAAGCGTAGTTGTTTGTTCCATAATGTTATTTGATCGGTTGTATACGTTTGTGGATTACTACCAAAATGCGGGAAGAAAAAAGGAGGTGTATCTGGTTCTGAGTTAGAAGAATGTAAATTTAATGCGATAACATCAGTAACTGGACTAAAACTCAAGTCATCGATAATATCAACCATGTGCGGATCATTTAAATAATGATTCTCAATTGGTGCTGTAGCAGAAAGAAATAGAGGATACGCTGTCTCAAACTTCCAGGCTACTTCGAGATTGTACTTTGTTGATTTGGAGTTACCCTAAAGCTGTAGACACTCTAAATTTAGAAAAAGGAGTGTTAAATGTCGAATCAGAAGTACAGCCAGGAATTCAAAATAGAAG